GGATCATCACAGACGGCTATGGTGGTCTGCGGTGTACCTCTCGCCGCTTGTCTGTTCCCCATGGTTTGAACCATTTTGAGAGCACCTGGGGCCGAGAAAAAAGTCAACCAGAGGGCTCTGGTGACTTTTGCTGGTTGCCTTTTTCGAAGCCTGATAGCGGGCGCTGCCTTCTGCTTGGGAACTGTGTGGGGACCTCTCGGGGTTCTTTTCGGCCTCCTGGGGGCCTCTTCGGGCCCTCTTGGAGCGTCTTGGGTGCCTCTCGGGGCCGTTTTGGACCATCTAGAGGCCCTCGTGGGCGCTCTCTGGCCGCTCTTGGGGCTGTCTTGGGTGCTTCTTGTGCTGTCATGGGAGCCACAGGAGCCGTCCAGGGGCCGTCTGGGGCCGTCGTGGAGGCCTGCTGGTGCCCTCCTAAGGCGTCTTGGGGCGAGCCTTGGCGCCTCCGGAGCCGTGTCGCGCTAATGGGGGGAAGCGTTCCCCTCGGGCCTCCTTTGGAGCCCTCTGGGGGGATTCTTGGGCCGTCTTGGGAGCCTCTGGAGCGGTCTTGAGGGCCTCTTGGGCCGTCTTCTTGGGGGCTCTGATGGGAGCCGCCAGGGCCGCGCTGGAGCCATGGCGGAGGCATGCGGTGCAGTATTGAAAATCATCGGGCCGCCTCAAGAAAACCGACAACTTTGCGTCCTCGCGGCCCGCCTCGAGGTTCTCGGGGAGGCCTGTGGAGCTGGGTTGGGTCCCCCTGAGGCCATCGTTGGTGGTCTCTTGGGCTCTCTTGGGGCTCCCTGGGGGCCCTCTGGGCTCTCTGAAGGAGGGTATGGGCCGTCCACACGAGCGGAGCCGCCGAAGCGCCGCCCCCCAGGGCCGGGCCAGGGTTAGTATTTGGCCGCTCTGGCACGCGGAATGCCTGGTATTGCAGTATAGGCTAAGTCTGAATCGTGGACTACGTCGATTTGCGGGGGGAATAGATGATGCCGCCAGGAGCACTCGATAAAGTTGGGACCCATTGTCGCTTTCCACATCTCGCTGAGCAGCGGGAACACCCAGTGTCCAACCCGACGGGAACTGACGGCGACGCATCAAAGGCACGACCAGGGCTCCCGACCCCACTTGAAAGGCTGAGTTGTGGAGCCAGGTGAAGAGCGGCCTCCCTTTAGAACTCCCAAATCTGCCGTGAGGAAAGTCGCAGCGACGCATCAAAAGCACGACCAGAGCTCGCGACCCCAGATGAGAACCAGAAATTTGGAGCCAAGTCGATCCGCGAGGACTTTGAGGCCGGACACGAGGAAGAAGCGCTCATGGCGCTTTGTTGGCGACGCCTGGGGGTCGGGGTCCCTCCTACCGCCTTCTGTCAGGACGTCGCGACAAGATCACGACCGAGGGTCCCGACCCGACATGTCAGACTCAGGTGTTGAGCTGGGTCGCACGCTGAAAGTATGGCGTGGGGCTCGACGCCCGCATTCCGCGCATGCTACTTCGTGCTACCGGTTGCTGCCGCTGTTGCGTGCAGCTGGTAACGGTTGCCGCTGCTGCGTGCTGTGGATGCTCGTGGAGTCGAAAACAAGCTGGTAAGCTTAGGTATGTGTTACGCTTTAAGCGTTGCCATATCCCAGGCTTTGGCTCATATCGCATGAGCAAGAGAGCAAGACGAAGCATGGGATCTGGAGTAAAGGATAGGATGGGCATCGTCAATGGAAAAGGTAATTTCCGATCTCTGATGCAAGTCGTGCGCCTCGGTGAGGCACAATCACATATTTGGCCGGGCCCGGCTTGAGCCAGGCACGGCAGCGGTACATGCTCGATTTATACCTCGCCTTTAACCTTCTCCGTTTAAAGTCGGAGGGGGAGGAGACGAGCAGGCACCGCACTTCTACATTATGCGGAAAAACAGTGCTAAGCAGCAGCGGCTGCCTACAAGGAAAGGGCGCGCGAGTAGCCTCGCTACCGGCGAGTTTCCTCGCTATTAAAGCGCACCTGCCCGCGGGTTTCCCCGCTAGCTCGGGAGGCAGGGCCGTCCTGAGACGACCTGCCCGCCCTATACGGTGTATGTTTCTTCAGCTCGTGCTTGAAGGATTGCTGGCCGGCCATTACTTGTAGGAGCAACGCGCGGTCAATACTACCTTTGGTATGACCATCGGCAGTCATATCCCGCGTGTCACACCATTGAACGCTTTCAACGATTCCGCGCTCCATCATCTGGCGGATCCAGCTAATGTGCCCAAGCAGAGTACATTCTGTGGGCTTCTTCAGATCTTTGCTAGACAAAGACTTGAAGACAGACTCGGCATCAATAGTCAGAGTGACTTTGATACATAGACCACCCATTTCCAATATGTTCTTTAACTGTGTGGGGGTCAATGGTCCCGAGTGTAGCTCGTGGAGCGTTACAATGGTCGGGTAGCAGTCTTCCAAGTTGTGGGCTGCTGCCAGTGTTTCCGCAGAGTAGCTCGAACGCACCTGCAGTCGATGAGACTTGCAGTATGCGTCCACCAGGTGCACGACGGGTTTCCCCGCTTGCGTGTGGCCACGCCTCAGCAGGTTAGCCCCGCGGATACCATAGCCTTTGACTTCGTCGTCTTCATCTCCGTTGAGACGACGATAGCCAGAATCGCTATGCAGGTCGACTTCTCCTGTTGGGGTCATAGCTTGATACACGATCTTCTTCGGACCTGCCTGTAGTTTTCTGGTAACCGCGTTTAGTCGTCGTACCTGGATGTTTGTCGGTTCCTGGATACGTTGTAGTGAGACAACATAGACCATCAGCCATACCTGCGTGATCAACGCATAGGCTAGAGCGCCACGAAGACTGACGAACATATCAGAAATCGTCTTTGTCGCTTTGCTCTCAGGATCAGCCCCTGTGAGTTCTGGATGTGTGATAGGACGAAGCTGTTTGATGTATTCGTCCTGATCAAGAGTGACGCTCCCATCATCGGTCTTGTTATACCGAACGGCACAGTTTGTGTATGTGTGCTTGTTCAGTTTGCACTTCCCAAACGTATCTTCAACACACTTGACATACTTGTCAATAGCCTCTTCCTTCCCAGTCATATTGATGTCATCAACGTGCTTGGCTGTCAAGAGGTTTGAGCTCATCTCGAACTCTTCGTCGTATGAAGTAGGCTGTAGCCCAAGCTCCTAGTGATGGACCTGAGCTTCAGCGAGAATGCCCTGGGAGCATCCTTCGTGCCCGTCCCCGGCTTCAGACACCGAAGACAATGCTTTGATTCGTCATATGACTCAAAGCCTGGCAGCGTGCGAAGGACAGCTGCTGACCCAGGTGGTAGCGTGAAGCACACCACACGCTCTTTCTCGCCCGTTGCCGCGGCGAGCTCGCCATAGGTCAGTCCCTTCAAGAAAGCCATGTTGATGTCCAGGGAAGCGATGATCCAAGCTTTGTTGCATGCAGCAGAACTTGCGAGCAGTATCTGGCTTGACCTCCTTGCCGCGCCAGAGAAGGTTTCGACATCAAAGGCTTCAAGGTCCATAAAGCCACGGAGTACCAAGCGCAACCTGATCGCCCTTTCCATTTCGCCCTTTTCGTTCTTGACAAACTTCCATTTGTATACGTAGCGTGACGTCATGATGTTAGACGCTTTGCTCAAGTCAGTCATCTGGAAGCATTTGTTGTCAAGCCAAGTCTTCCATTCTGTGTAAAGGGCTTTGGAAACTTTGACCGGATTTGCTTGGATGTCGGCCTTCGTGAGTAGATCGTCTTCCTTGACGACCACGGCACGTTTGGAAGCAGCACTAACGTATACTCGCATAATTGTGACGCTGCTGTCATCCAACAATCGGCGTTGCTGCTCGGACAGGACGACTTTGGACATGTCTGCTGTGAAGCAGAGCTCGATGTACTTCCCGTGCTCATCGGAGTCCAGATCATATTTACTGTCCGGATCCGTGGAGCATAAGGGAACGTAGTAAGAAGTGTCCATGTCGTATCCTGGCGGGCGACCCCGCTCCGGCAAGTGGCCTTGCACATCTTCACAGGTCGTAGAGACTAACACACACTGTGTGTCTGTCATGTATGTGGGAACTGTATGCATGACTTCCTCTGTGTCAGCTTCAAGGAGTGTTCTGTCATCCATCAGTTCAGCATACCACGACTTCAAGACAAAAGCATCCAGATCTTCTTCTGTTTCCTCTATGATGGTCGGGAGCCGACCATCGTTATCCGTAGGAGGCTCCTCAGGAGCAGCTGCTGGAGGTGACTCGCTTGGTGGTGGACCATCAGCGAGTTCCTCAAACTTAGTGAGGTCTCGGTCAAATCCAGCAGACGACTTCCTGGATTTAAGACACTGGATGATGCGTGAGTGTGTAGATCCTGTGATGTCATAGATGTTCAAGGCAGTGCCATCAGCTTCATAGTAATGAAAACCAGGGGTCACATCATTATCATAGTGCACTAGTGTACAGCTGTCTGCATAGGGTGCAGCAGGCAACTTCGTCAGGCTCTTGGCAAGTCGTACAGCAACAACGTTTTCAATACGAAAGTAGTTGCGTATGAGGTACTGAAGAGCCAAGTGCACCTTAGGCGAAAGTCGGCTCGCAGCAGTCATCTGCAGCCGACCCTGTTTCGCTGGTAGATATCCGAAAGTCATGGCGGGTTTCCCCGCTGGCAGACCGGCAATAAAGGCCAATACTGTCCGAAGGGCCGTATTGTCCGATCCTATCTCGCGGACCATAAGTGCTTCGATGTACAGCGTGTGTCGCGTGTCAGGATACTGTACTCGCACCTCGCGACTGCCGACCTTCACGATGACCTGGCCTCGGTCAGGTTCGTTGCGGATGACCGGGTATGGACCACTCCATCCACCCCAGTCGTCTTTCGTGGTGGTCGGGCGATGATAGTCCACGAGATCTCCCTCTTTGTAGTGAAATTCACCCGTAGCAGTAGTCTTCGTACGGAGAGCCCTGTTCGTCTTGGCAACCGCAGTGGCCTGCGTGATTGCCTCCAGACTAACCCTCCTGATTGTTTCCTCCCTTGAGTGATCTGATGATTCAGCGGACTGATCATGATCCAAGACAGGGAAATCGGGAAGCATAGCTGGTTGTCTGCCATACAGCGCATTGTACGGAGACACTTCATTGTAGAAGGTAAATGCGTTGCTGGCAAACAAGGCTTCATGTAAGAGACGAGTGAAATTGAGAGGAATATTTAATCTATTCAATTCTTCTCCCATCACGTGTAAGAGGTGTCGCAGGATGCCGTTCCTAGCTTCGATAGTTGTGGCGTGTTGGCCACGCGCTCGGATACGAAGCTCTGTTCCCTTAGCCTTAAGGATGGCCTTTGCTGTATCATTATTCAGTGCTCCTTCCCCATCGGAGTATAAGATTTTAGCAGGGCCATGTTGCATCCAAGTCGTATGATAGGCATCGAGAACAGTATGCATGGCTTTATCAGGAATCTCTGTGCCAGCTGCCCAGCGAATACAACGGTCGATGATGTGAAAAACAATATGTTCCTGTTTGTAAAAGAAAAGATCACATTCGACTTCCTCGTTGAAACGTCCTGGCAGTGACACAGAAGGCATCACCGTGTTGCCTGGTTTGTCCCAGGCTCGACATTCTCTACACGAGTCACAAATGCCTTTGATCAGACTCAAACGGGTTTCACCCAGACCAACCTTGGTTAGAATCATCCGCATTTTTGGCTCCTTGGCATGAAACCATCTCAAGTGGAGTTTGCGGAGTTCTCGCTGCACTACAGCTGGGTCGAAGCTGCGCAGGTTTTGGAGGCTGAGCTGAACGTCGAAGCGAGTCCAATCAGGGAGCCTTGGCCTTGGCCTCGGCTCTGCTTGAGGCTGCGGCGGTGGTGGAGGATCTCCTCCCTCCATGCGTCCGCGCCTTGCTGCAACTTGTGGCAGTCTACGGTGATCGTCAGAGCTGCCAGCGCCAGTGTTGCCACCATTAGCCCCTTCGGCTCTGGTGATGTCATGGCTGCTGGCGCCTGCGGTTGGATCGCCCTCACCAGGCCGTGGCGGCCTAGGCGCGCGTATGCGCGCTCTCGCGGCCGGCGCCGCTTTTGCGGCT